GTGAATGCCATAATGCACTCGATCTTTTAATTGAAATTTTCCTAAAATCTAAAGTTTTATGTTGGGGTATACCTGAAGGGGGACCCACATTGAATTAGGAATTAACAAATATTTGGGGTTATCATCAAATTAGGGTCTTTGCTTAATTGAGAACCGATATAGCTGAATGTCGGACCTAACATTTTCGTTTTGCATCACTCTATATATGACATCGGTAGGTATGATTATATTTGGGGCTTAAATGCGGCCTGATTTTTTTATCTTGATATTTCTGAAGGTATAATGATTACATCAAACTGATAATTTCGAGTACAGAATATCATCAACCCCTACACATGCCATTCTGCAACATATGCTAAATTTTGTAAATCGGTTTAAAGCAAAGTATGCTGCACTGTTAAAAATTTAAACTCAATCAGACACTCATTGATTATTTGGTGTACAATTAACATGAATAGGTCGAAATTATATATGGAAATATATATAAATCCGAACCGATTTCAAGGAAAGTTGCCAGAGATTAATTTGTATTAACTTTAGCACGTTGTGTCAATCTGCCTATCTATAGGACTTTAGTGCACCATTTACTTAGAATCGGGCGAAAATATATAGATGAGTCATATGTAAATCGGAACCAATTTCAAGAAAACTTAAGACACGTAGGATTGTACTAAATTCAGACGAAAATATATATGGGAGCTATATCTAAATCCGATCCGGTTTTCTCTAAACTTAACACACGTCATTCTAGATTCAATTCAGTATATTATGCCAAATTTCATGCAAATCTAAATATATATAGAGATTTTGGTGCACCATTTTCAATACATCGGAAGAAAATATAATATATATTAAGAAGCTATATCTTAATCTGAACCAACTTTTCCAATTTCAATAGGGTTTGTCCCTGGGCCAAATAAGTGGCATGTGCCAAATTTCATCCAAATCGGATCATAAATGCCACCTGTACCTGTACATTGTTCACAATTTAAAATGGACCGACAGACGGAAATGCATAAATCGACTCAGAAAGTGATTCTATGCATATTCTCAAAAGGAACCATGTGTCTATCTCGTTTCCTTTTGCCTTTTACAAACATATGCACAAAGACATAATACCCTGTACCACAGTGTGGTTAAGGTTATAAAAAGGGGTTATGTGGGGAGTACCCCTTAAAGGGGCAAATACTAATAATTTTGGGAGGGAGTTTTGTTACGACTACAAAATACCCAATGTCAGCGAATTCGGTGAAAAATGCGCTTAAAACCCTCAAATTATCGAAAATTGGGGGTACCGTTATATGAAGCTTAATGTGGACCTATATTTATCATTTTAAGTGGAGGGTTTTAGTACACAATGAGAAAAATGTTTCAAATTACAGTGAATTCGGCACTCAAGAACCACAAATATATTCGAAAAAGGGGACCTATATTTATAACTTTTAGTGTAGATATTGGATACCCAATACGAACGCTAAGTGCCAAATTACAGCGGATTCGGTTGAAAAACACGCTCATGAACCCCAAAATACCGAAAATTGGTAGGCTTATATGGGGTCTATGCCTAAACGTGGACCGATATAGCCCATAGAATATATAAAGTAAGATCTATAAAATATTGCTTATTTCGTTGAGTTGCAAACGGAAAATGAACTTAAGGGGACCCCCTCCATTATCGGTGTCATTTTTTTTTGATTTAATACGAATCTACACTGACTCAAGAATGTCCCTACAAAATTTCAAGTGAAAATCTCAAGAACTTTTGAAGATATAGCCGATTTATTGTGACAGCATCAAGTGACGGCTAAAGGGCTTCTCAATCTTTAAACGCGTTTTTCTCTTTTGCGAATGGCGGGCACGATAACTCAAAAACTAATAACCCAATCGATTCCAAATTTTACACGTTTCTCTGTGAGTGTATAGCTATCGTATGAACTAGGATAAAGCCAATCGGTGAAATCCAAAAGTTCTCATTATTTTTTAACTTGGTGTAAAAAATGCGATTTTCTAAAAATATTTTTTCAGAAAGTCCGGTTCTGTTTGTTTTCGAGCGAAGTCATTAATCCTAGTTCATACGAGAGTCAGATGATACTCATTAAAAACTGTAATTTAAATTAACACCACTACATTATATGGAATTTTCGGATTCCGATGTTCCAGTGAGGAGTTATATATCCATCAAAAATAAGGACTTTTCTTTAATTACAAAAAACAACAACAATAACAAAAATTTTTTGTAAATTATTTTTATTCTCTTTTAAATTTTCAAATATATGTATATGTGCAAAGTTACAAACCTTAACAAGCATTGGTATTGATTTACCAGCCCATTGAAAATCTTGAAAAATTAAAATCGAGAATAAACGTGACAAATAGATAACTGATAGATGGGTATTTTGGCTAATTTAGATCAGATCGAGAATATATATAGGTAACGGCACTCCTTAATTATTGTGGTATTTTGAGGACTTTTGGCACATTTTTCAACCGAATTGGAAAATTACACCCTGATATAAAGGTAGCCCCTACATTATGGCATTGGCATTATGAACGTTATATTGTACTCGTATTCGGTAAAAATCTCCATAACTCCACTTTTGGAAGTAGGACCCTATACAACTTCATTGGCTCGTGAAAAGAAATGTTGATAAAACATTATTAAAGTGATTCAAAAGCCCTTTGTAAGATCGTCGGAAGTGACGTTATGGACATTCATCCATCATTGTGAACTTGGAAGTGGGTCTTCGATTACGAGCCAAATTCAAAAGGAGCTGCTGAAGCGTCCAAAAACCGTTTTTGAAGGTTTCTCAATCAGAGTGGAAAAATATAAAATATATTGCCACCCACACTCGGAACTTTGTACTTTGACAACATTGAGTACATGGATCCGTCATGGTTTGTCCTTGTGTTTCGCGGACACCGTGAAACTTTTAAAGTGACTAGAACGATCCAAATGAATATCCATTAATAAATTGAAATTATAAATTAAAACCACTACATTATATGGAAGTTATACTCTGACGCTCTTAAATCAGTCGTATTTAAATATATTACATCCTTATTTCATTACCCTCTCTCTTCACACAAAATCACTGCTGCTTTGCCAGTAGTACATCTTTGTGTCTGCTCATAAGTGGAGAATGTGTTTTTCATTCGTTCGTTCGACTGGATGTTTCATCCTTGCCGCATATATTGGTCAACAACAATAAGTCATTTTATAAAGCTGTATATGTATGTCGATGTCGTTGTGTGTGTGTGCATAGTGAAAAAATAATGAATCTTGTTGGCTCTCTTTCAAGCTTTATCTTTCGTATCAAGGAAAAAAGTCAACATTTTGCTTCCGGTTTACACAAACAAAAACAACATAATCATTGTAATCATGGACAATGGCTACCATAACCATGGACATCTAGCCAATGCGATTCGTCTAGGAATATTCTATAAGAAAACATGTTATGAGGGTGGGTAAAAGGCAAAGCAACAAATGTTTGATGATAAATAGCAATATGATATAGAATGCTTTGCTTTAGACAACGCAAGTGTTAACCAGCTGTCATTAGCTTAATTTCTAAATAGGAGGTTTCTTCGGAACCTTTTAGGTTGTAGGATTTTGTCTTTAAAAACATAAAATGGATAAAAGAATGTATCAAGCATTGGCTACTTATATCTTTTCAAATTGGATGGCTGAAACACCTAAAAGTATAAAAACTTTTTTATGAAGATTATGAAGGTTAGGTCATGGTTGGCCAGAAGTAAGCAAAATATAAATATATAAAACTACTAACGCTCAGGTTGAAAATTGGGCTAGAACCTGGAACATACCGGAAATGACACGGGACCTTTGTATATAAGCATGAACTTAAAAGATGTTCTTAAATAAATCCACGCCTTGTTTTGGTCCTTGAAAAAATATTCTTTAATAAATCCACGCCTTGTTTTGGTCCTTGAAAAAATATCCTTTAATAAATCCACGCCTTGTTTTGGTCCTTGTAAAAAGTCTTCTTTAATAAATCCACACCTTGTTTTGGTCCTTGAAAAAAGTCGTCTTTAATAAATCCACACCTTGTTTTGGTCCTTGAAAAATATTCTTTAAAAAATCCACGCCTTGTTTTGGTCCTTGGAAAAATATTCTTTTAAAAATCCACGCCTTGTTTTGGTCCTTGGAAAAATATTCTTTTAAAAATCCACGCCTTGTTTTGGTCCTTGGAAAAATATTCTTTTAAAAATCCACGCCTTGTTTTGGTCCTTGAAAAAATATTCTTTAAAAATCCACGTTGTCTTCAATAAAATAAATTGGACATAAAACTTAAACCAGAGCCCTTAACTTCTTGAGCATTAAAAAAATTCATCAATTTTCAAAAACACCACCAAAAGAAGCAACAGCCTCGAAAGTTCCAAACTAAAACAAAGTATTCCGATGTAGCTGCAAGCTAGCCAACAAACTAATTCATTTTCAATTAAAATCGCATCAGTTTGAGAAAAGGGATTTTTCCTGTCGCGTCGATGTTGTGCTTCGCCGATGTTTTTTGTTCCCCAACATTCAACTCTCAGTGTGCACCACATTTACCAGGCAGTGGTTTTTGGAGTTTTCCCAAACGTTTTTTGTTCGATTTCACCAAACAACAGATGTGGTCGGAGTAGAAATTAAAAAAAACGACATTGACAGGATAGAAAAAAAAACAACGAAGCTCAAATAAATCAATACCATAGCTGAGAAAAAAAAACTTCGACAAAAAGGTTAACCATGAACCACTTTGACAGATTTCTTTTTTGGATTAAGAAAAAACCTCTAAAAAACAAAAAAGTGTTTGCCACGGACAAACAAATTCATTAAAATCTTAAAAAACAACAGCAATGCTGCAATCCTCCCCAGACAAAAGGAAATTAATTTATTATTGAAAATAAAGTCAAAATACCACAAAATTTATTTATTAATGGATGATTTGTATTTTTTACTTTATCTCATGCCTGTCTCTGTCTTTCTATCTCTCTCTTTACAGTTCATCCTTTGGTACAAGTTCCCAATCAATTGGTGGGTGCTCCCGTCCTTACAGATGTCACTTTAATTTGCAATGTGGAAGCATCACCCAAAGCCATCAATTATTGGCAAAGAGAAAATGGTGAGTAGTAGTATCGTCAGTCAGTCAGCCAGTCAACCATTCAGTCCATCAGTATTTGTCACATATTTGTTTGTGCTTGTTCCGCTTAATTTCATTTCAACAGCTTCACCAGACTAGTAGTTCTGTTCTGTTCCGTTCTGTTCAGTTCTCTTCCTGTGGGGAATTCAACAAATTTTTCAATTTTCCACTTTGTTGCAAAACATGGAAAAGAAAAACAATATTTCATTTCTCATGTAATTTGTCTTTATTAACTTCGTGCTTAGTGGTCTAAAGCAATTTCTTTTGTTGGTGTCTGTCAACTCTCTTCTCCACAGAGGAACTAATAGCACAAATGTTTTGAAAAATAAACAGAAAATAACTTAAATGTTTGAGTGACAGAAATGGTGATGAATTGAAATTGACTTTAACTGTCTGGCCATTTGTTTTAATCTCTTGTAAATTGTCAGTTGTCAATGTTTGTTTATGACAAGTATTGGAGGGTGTTGACGATAAAATCATTATCCCAAAATTTGGTGTTGTATAGTTCCATGTGGGTTGGGTATAAAAATTTCGTATTAACACCCTTTTCACTTGTAATTTAGTATTTATTAATTAATATTTTTTATTTAATATTAATTGTTTTAATCTACATTTTAATTTTAAGTTGTTATAATTTAACCAATGTTTTTTTTATATTTCTAGGTGAAATGATTATTGCTGGGGATCGCTACCTTCTCACCGAAAAAGAGATCAATATGTATTCCATTGAAATGGTGCTACATATCAGACGTCTACAGGCCAGTGACTTTGGTGGATATAAGTGTATATCGAAGAACAGCATTGGCGATACGGAGGGCACCATACGATTATATGGTAAGTGGGGAATTTAAAACCAACTAATTACTAAGACATTTTATTGAGGTTAAAAAATTATTTCAGAGATTAGAGTACTCTCTGAATATGAAGGGAAAAAACTCAAATACCGTTATCTTGATTTCGAAGAATGACCCCTATTTAAGGCATATAACATATGGGTGGACCTATATTTTCTATTCATATCTTGTAACCCACTGCAGATGAATATCCGAGGATTTTCGTCATTGTAATTTATTTACAATGAAGTTTCAACCTCACTGTTTGCAAAGACGGGTTCTCACCCTCACAAAATGTCATATAATAGCCTCGCCTTGGTGGTGGTAATACCCTGTACCACAGTATGGTGAAGGGTATCAAATTATCTTTTGTGTCTTTGTGCATATGTTTTTAACAGGCAAAAGGAAACGAGATAGACACTTTCTTTTCACTTTCTAAGTCCATTTATGCATGTCCGTCCCTCTGCTGATGTTAAATTGTAAACAAAGTACAGGTCGCATTAATAATCCAATTTGGATGTTGGAAAAAAATCGGTTCAGATTTAGATATAGCTCCCGTATATATGTTTTCGCCCTATTTAAGGTAAATGGTGCAGCAAAGTCCCTATATATCTTTCGATTTGCACGATATTTGGCACATCGTACTGAATTCAGCCTAGACTGATGTGCGCAAAGTTTCGTAAAAATCGGTTCAGATTTAGATATAGCTCCCATATATATTTTCGTCCAATTTATTGTAAATGGTGCATCAAAGTCCCTATATATCTTTCTTTTTGCTCGAAATTTGGCATTGCGTACTGAATAGAGTCTAGGATGGTGTGTCTTAAGTTTCGTGAAAATCGGTTCAGATTTAGATATAGCTCCCATATATATTTTCCTCCGATTTAACCAAATTAAACCTAGAACAACCTTAGATATAGCTCCCAAGCATAATTGTGCTCAATTTCATACAAATGGTGCGCAAAGAATCCAAGTCCGTTCGATTAACATGCAACTTTTCAAAGATTTCAAAATTGTATTGTTTTAAGGGGACCAACCCATTCTCGGTATCAAAAAAAAAAAATTAATTCGAAACTACTCTAATTTTTGAATGTCCGTACAAAATTTCAAGTGAAAATCTCAAGAACTCTTGAAGATATAGCCGATTTATTGTGTCAGAATCAAGGGACGGCAAGAGTGATTCTCAAATTTTATACGCATTTTTCTCGGAGCGAATGGCGGGCACGATAACTCAAAAACTAATAATCCAATCGGTCCCAAATTTTTACACGTTTCTCTGGGAGTGTATAGCTCTCGTATGAACTAGGATAAAGTCAATCGGTGAAGATCTTTCTTATTTTTTAACCTAGTTCGTTGTCAAAAATAGGCGATTCCGCCTATTTCCGTTCATCCGAGAGCCAGACAAGTACTCTTTCTAACACCGTTTGAATTTTCGGATTCCGATGTTCCAGTGAGGAGTTACATTGCCCTCCATCAAATATAAGGACTTTTCTTTGATCACAAAAAAACAACAACAAAAATTTTTTGTAAATTATTATGTCCAAAGTTACAATCGTTAACAAGCATTGGTATTCATTTACCAGCCCATTTAAAATCTTAAAAATAAAAAATCGAGAATTAGGGGGTTCCCTTAAATTAGTTTAAATATCTATTTAGTCCTCATATTTAATTTCGCCATTTCTTCAGGATATTGTACATATCAGTATCTCTTGTATTTACCCAAAGTGATGGAGGCCCCGTCCGACGAAAACATAATTTTACAAAATACTTGCCTTTAGGTGGACCCTGAAAAAGTATTTTTTAATACACGCGAGTGTAAATGAACCTGGAAAAAAATTTTGAAAAAAATCACGCTTATAGGTAGACCTTGCAAAAAATTGTTTTAAAAATTGCACACCCTATAGTAGCCTTATATTAAGCCCTGCAGATATAGTTTTAAAAAAATTAACGACTTATAGTAGCCTTATATTATGCCCTGAAAAAAATAGTTTTCAAACAATCCACTCCTTATATTAGGCTCTGAAAAAAAATGTTCTTCAAAAAATGCATGGCTTATACTAGGCCCTGAAATAATGTTCCTAAAAAATCTACGCCTTATATTAGTCTCACATTAAGCCCTGCAAATATAGTTTTCTAAAAATGCACGCCTTATAGTAGCCTTATATTATGCCATGGAAAAATAGTTTTCAAAAAATCCACTCCTTATAATAGGCTCTGAAAAAATATTCTTCAAAAAATCCACTCCTTATATAAGGCCCTGAAATAATGTTCTTTAAAAAATCGACGCCTTATATTTTGTCCTGAAAAAATATTCCCTAAAGAATCCACGCCTTAATTAGTATTTTCAAAATTATTGTTCAAAAAATCCCTGCAAATATAGTTTTAAAAAAATTAACGACTTATAGTAGCCTTATATTATGCCCTGAAAAAAATAGTTTTCAAACAATCCACTCCTTATATTAGGCTCTGAAAAAAAATGTTCTTCAAAAAATGCATGGCTTATAATAGGCCCTGAAATAATGTTCCTAAAAAATCTACGCCTTATATTAGTCTCACATTAAGCCCTGCAAATATAGTTTTCTAAAAATGCACGCCTTATAGTAGCCTTATATTATGCCATGGAAAAATAGTTTTCAAAAAATCCACTCCTTATAATAGGCTCTGAAAAAATATTCTTCAAAAAATCCACTCCTTATATAAGGCCCTGAAATAATGTTCTTTAAAAAATCGACGCCTTATATTTTGTCCTGAAAAAATATTCCCTAAAGAATCCACGCCTTAATTAGTATCTTCAAAATTATTGTTCAAAAAATCCCTGCAAATATAGTTTTAAAAAAATTAACGACTTATAGTAGCCTTATATTATGCCCTGAAAAAAATAGTTTTCAAACAATCCACTCCTTATATTAGGCTCTGAAAAAAAATGTTCTTCAAAAAATGAACGCCTTATACTAGGCCCTGAAATAATGTTCCTTAAAAAATCTACGCCTTATAGTAGCCTTACATTAAGCCCTGCAAATATAGTTTTAGGATCTGAAAAAAATATTCTTTAAAAAATGCACGCCTTTTATTAGTCCCTGAAATAGTGTTCTTTAAAAAATCGACGCCTTATATTAGTCCCTGAAATAGTGTTCTTTACAAAATCGACGCCTTATATTTTGTCCTGAAAAAATATTCCCTAAAGAATCCACGTCTTAATTAGTATCCTCAAAAATATTGTTCAAAAAAGCCACGCCTTATATTATCCCTCTCAAAAACATTCTTCAAAAAATCCACGCCTTATATTAGACCCTGAAAGACATTCTACAAAAAATCCACGCCTGATATTGGGCACTGAAAAAATATTTTTAAAAAAGCCTTATTTTAACCCATGGAAAAATATATAATACAAAGAAAAATATACATTATAAGAACACAGAATGCCAAATTACATCCACTTTGGTAAGAAAATACTAGATATAAAATCCACTGAATAGATACATTTTACACTACCATTTGCAATATATTTTTCTACAAATAATTATTTTCTGCTTTTTACAGAAATGGAAAGACCGGGAAAGAAAATCCTACGAGAAGAAGATATGAACGAAGTAACGGTAAGTTAAAATTAAAAGTTAATCCCAGATATCAAGACTTTATTTAAACGCTAAAAAATTTTCCCCCATTTTATCTACATTGCCTCTTAAAAATCCCCCTGTTATTATCTTTCCACTTACAACAGAAAAACGAAATTGTCCTCAAGGAAAATCGTCATGAAGACGGTGCACGAAATCAAAATGGACGCCTATACAAAGAGCGTGGCAGCGACCTAACCCTATACAATCATCACAATTCGGCATTGCCACAAATGCGGTCACCTTCGATGCCATTGATAATTGTATTAATTACACTAATACTCTTATTAGCGTCAACACGTACACTTAACGATATTGGCCATAATCAAATTGTCGATGACAGGCATTGGCGACAACAGGCGTCAGCGGCGGGCGCGGCAGCGTCGTCGTCGTCAATACAATTGGCACAGTACATAAATGGATTATAGCTCAATTACAATGTAATTAATCATAATTAGTAAGCAAATATATGTGTATGTATATATATTAGACAACATCAACAACAACAATACTTTCATTTCTCATTCACGCTCTCCCACTCCCTCCCCCACCTAATTCCTGTTCAGTAGTTATTGTCATTGTCCTGCGATTGTAGTTGTAATTAACACATCCACTTCAGTGATAATAATTATGACTGGTATTTACTGCCAAACACTACAGGGACAATATAGTAACTACAAATAGAATCTCTTCCCTCCACACCCAAAAGAAACTCCCACACTTCCCCTTCATTTTCTCTCCCTTCCATTATCTTTGATATCGACAAACTAACAATAATAACAGTCAATAATAACTAATGATAAACTAAATAAATTAAATACACAAAAATAAATACGAACGAAATATTATGAACGAAATATTATGAATAAATAAATAACAACAAAAACATGAAATATAGAGAGAAAACAAAAAACAACAACAAATGAAAACTACAACAGCAGATACCACCACCATCGAACAACAACTACTAAAAGGCTAACAATTATTTGCACGAATACAAATATTGTCTGGGTAGATTGAATTGTGACTGTCTAAGGTGAGAGTTGTAAAAATAGCCTGTTGATTTTGTAAGAAATATTAAAATAAATAGTGAAGAGTACGAAATAATTTAAATACTTGTTATTCTGTTTGATTAATATTGATTCTTAATCTTTTTTTCAAAAAAAAAAATTATGAAAGAATTTATGTTTTTTCTAGTTTAACCTTTTCTAAAAATTATATTAAACCCATGTTTTTATTTAAGGTTTACTTAAATAGGCTTGATAATTTTTAAAAATTAACTATAGAGGGTGTTTTAGGAGAGGTTATTTATTTATTTTTTTTTTTTGTGGTCCCAAGGGTTTGCAACACCACAAACTATATTCCTAGATCTACCTTTTTGTATACCGATAGCAATATATCGTCCCAGCTATTTGCATTCGTCCTGCGGGCCATTATAATCTATAATCAAAGTACAGGCCACAGATTTGGGTCAATTCTCAAGAAATTTTGAATTTATAGTTTATGGTAATGATTAGTTAGTTTTTAGAGCATGAATTATTATCATTGCTTCTCTATGTTTTTCTAATGGTTCTAAAGGCACCAATTAAAACAACAACATCAGGAAATTCTACACGGGATATGGAATATGGCCAAGTACCTAGCAATGCCGTTTTGATGAAGTATTTGTCGCAAAATTTGAATAGACTCGATTTAATTCAGAGTTCTGGAGGTAGGGTAGAATGTTGTCCAGCAATAGGCGTCGACTTTTTAAAAATTAAATTTCAAGCCCCAGCCATAGGTTTGGATTTTTTTTAAATATTTAATTTTTAAATATTTATTTAAATATTTTATATCGGTTCGCGTTTTCATATTAGGTTGGGGAAAAAGAAATCCACTATTTTATATGAACTATACGACTTTATTTCACATGCTTCGGAATGTCAGATTTGGGCCAAATATTTTACATTTTAAAGAAAACTTCATAATGCCTCTTTCATATAAGTCTTGCTCTCTACTTGCAAAAAACTCTAGTAGTCGATTTTCACAATTCTCCATAGATACCAATTTTTTATTATTAAAGAAAATTTGCAATGCAAGATAAAGATGATAATCGCATGGTGCCATGTCCGGAATGTATGGCGAATGCATTAAAACCTCCCAACCAAGCTTCCGAAGTTTCTGGCAAGTCACTGTAGATGTGTATGGTCTAGCGTTGTCCTGGATGACCACGAAACCACTCCTGTTTGCCAAATCTGGCCGTTTGTGGTCAATTGTAAATGGTTTAAAACAGTTTTATGGTTTATTTTTAGTTCCTGGGCGATGTTACGGCTGCTAACATAGCGGTCAACTTCGATCATTTCTCCGATTTTATCGAAGTTGACCGGCATGTTAGCTTCATAACATTTTTAGATCCTGGGCGATGTTACTGCTGCTAACATGCCGGTCAACTTCGATCATTTCTCCAATTTGTTTTCGACGACCGGCCTACCCCTGCGAGGTGCATCTTCAACATCAAAAATTTCCTGAACGGAATCTAAGAAACTAAAATTGCTCATTATTGGCTGTTACAGTATTGGAACCATAAACACCATTCACAATTTTAGGCGCTTGGCTTGCATTTTCGACTTTGTCAAAGAAAAGCTGTAAAATGCACCGAATTTTCTTTTTATTCACTTCCATTTTTAACATCCTGTAACTCACAACTGAATGCACCAAACAAAAGCCAACAAAATATTTATTTACTGTGAAATATCACCCTTCCAACAAGCACAAATCTGTAATTGTTTGATCGATACTTTACGAGAAATCTAACAGTACATATATATGTTGTCCTTGACCATAATCGAAACTTCATTTAAATTCCATAGAGATCAGACCTGAATGTATACCCTTCAGTGCGATAATGCTACATACATCACTTTGTCTTGGTCCTTATTAACAAATCATCAGTCATGATTCTTATTCTTTTGCTAAATCCCCTTCCCCTGTATAATTTCCTGGTGTTGGGTCATAATTTTACCTCTAGAGCAATCAAAAAAGACCTTAATAATTATTTGTTTGGTTAATTTCATCTCCTAAAAATTTACCAATCATCGCCAAAAAATAGTCTTCTTTGGACGATTTTTTTCATAACATGATAGAAATACGGACGGACCGACACACATGTCGATATAGACTCAGCTAGTAGAGATATGATGATCGGTATACTAAAATGTGAGTCTAGGACCAATATTTCGCGGCGTTACAATCTCTTGCAGCCATACAGAATTATTATACCCTTACAACATAGTTGTAGGGTATACAAATTATACCCGGATATATCCGGTTTTATCCCACCTTATGTACATTCTCCACGCATTAAAAATTAATCTATAATAAATAACTTATGTTGCATTATAATAATCATATGCTACAGGACAAATCATGGCCCCGCTTTTGTTACTCCAACAAAATTTAACAATTGGTAAAATATTATAAAAAAAAAAACAAGTAAAAGACCGATAACAAAATTGAATAAAATATTTAATTTCATATAGTTATTGACGAGTTTCAAGATTTGTTCCTTAGAAGCGTAATTTTTTTCGAATTCCATAGATTTTCCAGCCTTTTTTCTAGTCCGTTTCTGTACAATATTTATCAATTTATACTAAAATTATACACAAAAAAACACTGATCCTTAAATATAATCTCATCTGTGTAGCTTCAGTAATTTCTTAACAAATATTTATTTCCAATTAGGCTTTTATTTCAATTTAAAAAAAAAAATGTTCTTAACTACTTATTCCACTTTCACCACAGCAGTCATAATTCAATACCCTCATACTATATGGCATGCAAATGACTTAATCATGTGACAAATACAGTAATGGGGAAAAATAAAATAATCACTTTCCCATTAACAGGATATTTATGAAAATAATTAAACGATAAACATGAAACGATGAAATATTAATGAAACATAAAAAAAACTCAAACTAATATTTATTATTTATTTCACGAATGTGAATTATGAGTTTTGACACTGTCTTCAACAGCCTTTTACTTTTTAAATTAATTGTTAATTTGATAATTAATTGTTGATTATTTTATTAATATCTACAGAAATTACGATATTTTATTTGAAATACCTCGTTTATTGATTTAAAGTAGCGCCCTGGGTGGCGTATACATTCGACGTGGATATCAGTAATACGTATACGCCACACATCCTCCAACTATAATCTTTGGCAACATTTTGTGTCACAATTAAGCACTTTGCAATAAAAAATATAACGATTTTGAAGGGTATAAACAGTTCTACTCGAATTTAGTCCCATTTTTACTTGATTATCCTAAGTTGGTATTAAAATGCACATTAATCCCATTTAAAATTACAATCCATAGAATCAAAATATTTTCAAATGAAATATATTGGCATTTAGCATTAATATGTTAGTTACTTATAAAATCCTTCTAAGTTACAACTATAAGTGTATAAAAATAAAAACAAATGGAAAATAAAATGAAATCAGCTTTAAACCAAACTTACAAAAGAAAAGAAAAAAACAACCTAAATATTTATTTGTAATTTAATTGTATATATTATGATTATTATTATGTATACCAAAGTTATTTTCTATTATGGATTTAATTCAGAATTTTTTCTATTTTTGCAATGTAAATAAACACACCTTATTTCTAAGAGTTATAAATAAATAGAAAACCAAGTAATAAAAATAAAACATTTAGTTAAATTAATTAGTAATTCCTTGTTAGCTACAAATTAAATATTAAAAACAAAAAAATAAATAAAAACTTTAAAAGACATGAAAAAGTAAATCAAAGCTGCAAACAACAAAAAT